GGGGTTCGGGGGTGCGGGAGCCGGGAGTGGCTGCTCCCAGTATGAGCCCAGTTGCTCTCCCCGTGTGGTTCCAGTTTCCTCGGCACTCCCAGGATTGGCTCAGTCACTTCCAGGCATTCCCGATTATGATACAATTTGCCCCAGCATGGCCCCAGTTGCTCCCAGTCCCTCCCACTTTGGTCCAGGGTGTTCCCAGTTCTGCAGTTGCCCCTAGCACAGTCCCAGTCACTCCTTGTGTGATCCCATTCTGAGTCCATTATGATGCCAGTCTCTGCCAGCTGGGTCCCAGTCACTCAGACTTGCCCCCAGTTTACCCAGAATGGTTTCAGTTTTTTTCCCTCAGCAGATTCTCGATTGCTCCCGGTCATCACCCCTATGGTTTCAGACTCTCCCAGTATATCCCACTTACGCTGAACAATCTCGTCGTCATTCCCAGGCACTCTCAGTTACCTAAGAATGGATCACTTGCTCGCAGTTTGATCCCAGTTCCTGTCAGTGTGTGCACAGTGTGCTTCCAGCTTGGGCCCGGTAGCTCCCAGTAACCCCCAGTCAGGGTCCAGCCACACCCACTCTAATCCCAGTATGACTGTAGACACTCCCAGTATGATCCTAGTATGGTCCCCGTCACTTGCAGTCTAATTCCAGTTACTCCCAGTCTGATGCCAGTGGCCCCCAGTGTGATCCCAGTTGGTCCCTGTCAATGCCAGCATGACCCCAGTAGCCTCCAGTATAATCCCTGTGCCTGCCTGTCTCTCCCAGTATATCCCAGTCACCCCCAGCATTGTGCCAGTCACTCTCACTTCTTCCCAGCTGCTTCCAGCATGTTTCCAGTTGTTCACAGCCACTCCCACTCCATCCCAGTATGATTCCAGTCACCCTTGATGTGATCCCAGTCTCACCCAGCATGTACCCAGGTGCTGTCACTGTGATCCCAGTATGATCCCAGTTGCTGCCAGAACAGTTTCAGTTGTTCCCAGTTCCTACCAGGATGATGCCTAGAATAGCCCCAGTCTCTCTCAGCAATGTCTCACTTTCTGCCAGTGTCCCCCAGTGTGGTTCCAGTCTCCCCAGTATGGCACCAGCTGTCCCCAGCTGTTCCCAGTGTGGTTCCAGTCCCCCCAGTATGGTTCCAGTCACTCCCATTATATCCCAGTTGCCCCAGTAAGGTTCCAGTTCGCTCAGAATGATTCCAGTCTTTCCCAGTTACTCACAGTTGTCTCCAGCGTGATCCCAATTTCTGTCAGTTGCCCATACTCCCAGTTGCTCCCAGTATGATCCCTGCTATGGCCTCAGTCCCCTCAGCATGATTCCAGTACCTACCAGTTGATCCTACTTGCTCCCAATGTGTCCACATTTTCCTCCCACCATGGGCCCAGTTGCTCCCAGTAAGCCCCAGTCAGGTTCCATTCCCACTCCCTGTAATCCCAGTGGCTCCCAGGATGATCCCAGTAGGACCCGTAGTCACTCTGTATGGTTCCAGTCTCTCCCAGTATGAACCGTTGCACCCAGTCCCCCCCAGTGTGGTTCCAGTCATGCCCAGTATGACCATAGTCACTCCAAGATCCTCCCAGTCATGCCCAGAGTGATTCCCTGTTACTCCCAGTCTGAGACCAGTGTCCCCCAGTCACTCCCACTATGGTTCCAGTTGTGGCCAGCACTTTTCCTGTCACTCCCAGTCTGCTTGCAGTATGATCCCAGTCATTCTTGGATATTCTCAGTACTATTGCAGTCACTCCCAGTATGATTCCAGCTAGTTCCAGTAGGATCCCAGTATGACTCTGGAATGGGCACAGCTGCTCCCATTATCATCCAGTGTGGTTCCAGTTGCTCCCATTTCCCCTCACTGTGGTTTCAGTCTCTCCCAGTGTATCCCAGTTGCCGCCAGCACGTTCCCAATCACTCCCAGTTGTCCTCAGCTGCTTCCAGACTGATCCCAGTTGCTCACAGCCTCTCCCAGTCACCCTCAGTGCAGTCCCAGTTGCTGCCAGTGTGATCCAGTATGATCCCAGTCCATCTGAGCACGGTTGCAGTTTTTCCCAGTTCAACCCAGTGTGATCCTAGTTGCTCCCAGTTGCCCCTAGCATAG